CCAATTGTCGTCAAGTGTGCGATTTGCATGAATGTGAAAATAAAACGATGAATGAAAGTTTTCCAAGTTGGATTTAGGAACGAAAATGCTACTCAACTTTGGGTAAATGAGGTACCACAGTTTTGTCGCTGTTAATCCTTACTAATCGCAGTTTCATCGGAAAATATAGTCGCAATGGGAGGGACACATAAATTCACGTTTTCACAGCCTTATATAGTCAATAAATAGGGTTGTAATTCTAGATTATTCAAAACCATTTTTTCATTATTTCAAACCAAATGTTCTTTTATAATGACAAATAATTGTACAATGTATTAAAAAATATTTCCATTATCGACATTTTATATTTTTTTTTTGCAATAGAATTTTACCAAATAAATTTTTAATCAAATAAATATTAAATGAACAAAATAAATTTTCAATAAAATACATTTTGTTAATTATATTTATTTTTTTAAAAATTCAGTAAAATAATGCACGACCTGATGTTCACAACATGTTAAATAATTAATGTTTTTTTGTTAATTATTATTTCAGTAATTATTTATAAACGAAAATTTGAATCAAAGAGAATGGATATTTTTTTGCAAAATATTGCAAAAACCGAATACAGAAACATATTCATTAATTTTTAATTATTTTCATATTAAAAAAAATAATAATTTTTTTTTTGTCTCTGCATCATTCAGGTACGCATCAATTTCATTAATAATTTTTAAATTACGTGGGTACTTTATCGAGTGAGTGAAAAAAAAATTAAATATTCTCCTCGTTGAAATAAATTTCAAATATGTGAGTGGCAAATAATTAAATTATTTTACATATATTTAAATAAATTTAATTTTTTTCCACAACATCAATTTTTCAATTGATTAAACCCTTCAAGGATCAACTTTTTTTTGCCCTCAAAAATCACTCTTATAATTTTTTTGTAAAATGAGAATTCTTTCACTAAATTTTAGCAAAAATTTTACTATTTGATTAAGCAATATTTTTTTACTAAATTTTTAGTAAACTATTACTATTTGATTTAGTGATTTTTTAAATTAAATTTTTAGTAAAATATTTTTAATTGATTTAGTAAAAAAATTTTACTAAAGTTTTAGTGAAAAATGATTGAAAATTAGTAAAGTTTTACTAAATTTTAGTATAATAATACTTTTTGATTTAGCAAAATTTTTGTATTAAAGTTTTAGTGAAAAATGAATAAAAAGTAGAAAGAATTTAGTAATATTTTTTATTAAATTATTAGTAAACTATTACTATTTGATTTAGTAATTTTTTAAACTAAATTTTTAGTAAAATATTTTTAATTTATTTAGTAAAAAAATTTTACTAAAGTTTTAGTGAAAAATAATTAAAAATTAGTAAAGATTTACTAATTTTTAGTATAATAATACTTTTTGATTAAGTAAAATTTTTGTATTAAAGTTTTAGTGAAAAATGAATAAAAAGTAGAAAAAATTTAGCAATATTTTTTTATTAAATTTTTAGTAAACTATTACTATTTGATTTAGTAATTTTTTAAATTAAATTTTTAGTAAAATATTTTTAATTGATTTAGTAAAAAAAATTTACTAAAGTTTTAGTGAAAAATGATTAAAAATTAGTAAAGTTTTACTAATTTTTAGTATAATAATACTTTTTGATTAAGTAAAATTTTTGTATTAAAGTTTTAGTGAAAAATGAATAAAAAGTAGTAAGAATTTAGTAATATTTTTTTACTAAATTTTTTCTGAAAAATTACTATTTGATTTTATAATTTCTTTACTAAATTTTTAGTAAAAAAAAACTATTTATTTAAGTAATTTTTTTTTTACTAAAGTTTTAGTGAAAAAATGATTAAATTTTAGAAATTTTTACTAATTTTCAATAAAATATTACTATGTGTTTAAGTAAATTTAGTATACGAATTCTCACTAATTCAAATTTTAGAGAGTTGCGATCCTTATAGGGTGAACTTTATTGAATTAATAAAATTATTTCCGATTGAATTCCCTAGTAGAAATTTGTCGTGGATGCACTAGATTGACTCAAGTTACTTGACAGTTTTTCTCGCGGACGCTGATTCTAGCTGAACTGATAAATAACTGTGAAGTTACTGATCAGTGCTTTTTGAAAGAAATTCAAGTTGAACTTGATAATTCCACGACTCAAAGCTATCCAGTTTTTTTAATGGCACTGTCCAGTGCTGCTCGAAATTAAATTCATATCCTTGTCATGGCGGTGGCGCTTCAATAAGTCTAGTAACTGGACAGCTATGCTAGGATTTTGTGTATTGACATTTCGCTTGCTTGATTTAAAAAAATTACAACTTGTTTATAAAAATTAATAATAATAATATTAATATTCCTTTCTCAAAAAAAGACAGTGCATACAAAACACATGAAAATGTATCGAAATATCTCGGTGGTCGAAAAAATTGAATTTAAGAAAAAATGAACTTTGCTTTCCAGAGCATCTAAATCAATATTCATTTTATGAAAATCACTGTAAATTATTGTTCCACATATATATTTTTTGCATAACTTATCTTATTGCAATAAATATACACTTGCAAAATATTATTTGTTGTAAATGTTTGCCAGCTGTCATGAATCAGAAACGAACATAACCTATATTTAGTTGAAATCACTTGATTGGCCCAAGACAAAATAGCGCGCGCTTTTTTAAAATAATAAAATTTATTAAATTATAATAAAATAATTGCAATAAATTAAATTATTATGAAAATAATATTACCTTGAATAAAAAGTGTTTTTAGTTTTTAAAAAAAAATGATTAAACAATTATTATTATTTTCAGACAAATTTTACAAATATAGTAGAATATTATTTTTCTGTTTGAGTATATTATAATAATATAATAATAATAATAATAATAATAATAATAATAATAATAATAATAATATTATATTATATCAATAATTATTAATTTATTAAAATAATTTTATTTATAAAATTTTACATATAATTTTTGAGGATAATAAATAAAAAAAATTAGTAATTAGTTTTTTATAATTGTCTAATGTTTAAATTAAATTATAAGTAAATCATTTAAAATCAAATAAACATCTAAAATGTTTATTTGCCTAGAAAATAATAAAAATAATATGCACAAATTCATAATATTATTAGGTACAGTGAAATACGTCAAGCATTTATTCTAATATCACTGATCAGAACGGCCGAGTTGCGTAAAGCGTGCGTTTCTTTCGTTCCCGCCCAGCGGACCCGTGTTCGCTCCCCGGTAGCCCCAAGATTTTTTCGTTGAAACTGCGAGAAGTGTTTTAAGGTTTATGTTATGACATTCATATTAATATAAAAATTATAATTGTTTCAGTGTTGTTAACAGTTCAGGTCAAGATGTTGGTTCAATCGTTTTACTTATGTAAATTTTTTTTTTAAATCCAGTTTAATTGTGAATGAAAAATTACATTTTTATAACGAATTACTATATTTAGTGCAATATATTTTCTTATAATAATTTTTGTTGATAATTGGAATATTTTTTTTAATTACATAAAATAAACGTGTTTACTACATTAAATCTTATTATTAAATGAATTTCGAAATATTTAAAAGAATTAATTTGACTAGTTTTTCAAAAGTCCTATTGATAAATAATTATCAAGTTGGGCTGGATAATAACTTGATGAAAAAAGCGTGACATGACATTCGAGTTTTTAGCTAGCTGGTCAGTCAAGTAACTAGACAGACTCCAGCGCGACTAGGCAGTTCCTTTAAAATAGCTAGGACAAATTTCTACTAGGGTTAGTTTTATTGATAAAACTTATTAAATTAAATTATGTCAATAAAATTTATGACACAAACATTGTAATAATTTTATTCTAAAATTAAGATTTAAATATTTTAATGAAATTTAATCTTAAATTAAGTACATCCTTTTTCTTAGAATAAATATTTAAGAAAATATTCCTAAATTTAAAAAAAAAATATTCTAAAAATAAAAAAATAAATAATATTTAAAATATTTTTAATAATATTTAATACCTAAATACAAAAAAAATTAAGAATAAAATATTTAACAAAATATATTTTAAAATAGGAATTATTTTTAATTTAAGAATAAATTTTCCGATATTTTTGGAAACAGAGAAATAAAATTTTTCGCTACAAAATGATAAATTATTGTTTATTATTATTATTGTAATTAAACTCACATTCTTGGTGGCGGTGTAGCCGGTAAATTGTTGAAGTCGACTGCTGACAGTTCTGATTCCAGGACTCGGTGGCTTTTCCTCCTCTTTGTGCCAGATGCTGATGACACCGGTTATAATAAGGGCCACGAGAGTGATGACACCAATGAGCAAAGTGAGCGTGACCACTTTGCTCTTGGGTGATATTACCATCGCCATTTTCAGACCTCACCGTCAAAAGCTGTTCACAATTATAACTTTATAACGTCCGCATAGTCAAATATCGAGGGTATGTTGGGAAAATGATAGTGCATCCTTCTTAGAATCATGGATCTTCTTTTTAGATTACAAAGCACCCCACCCAAGGATGCTTCTCTTTTATCTATACACAATATTTTTCTATTTTTTTTTATTTATAATATATATATAATTTTTTCATTATTTATTTTATTTTATTATATATATATATATATTTTTTTCTATATATTTTGTATATATTTTTCAATATATATATTTTCTAATATATATTTTTTAATATTTTTTTTTTATATTTTATTATATATTTTTAATCGTGTATATTTTATTATATACATATTTTTTTCTTTTTAGTTATTAATATTCGTATTTGTTTCTTTATTCCAAAGATAATCACGTTAGAATTTTTTTTCTAGAGTATCGTATTTGAATACGAAGAATTTATTTTTGAAATTTCTGATGCTCTCGAATTGTAAGAAGTGTTTTCGATAACGTCGAACAGAACTTGAAGCATCAAAGGAGTTTGAAAACGCCTGTAAAAATTTCTTATACGAGGTCACGATTCTTCGAGACAACACACAACCCTTTGGCACCTGCGTTTAGACGCGTGTGTTATGCGATAAAAGCTAAAAATATGACCTCTTCAAATGCCAAACGTCTCTGCACATATATATATATTTTTTATTCCTTTCTCTTGAAAATAGTTCTATACACTTTTTTTTTTATCTTTTTTCTCTGCCAAATTGATTAACTTGTCTCAATAAATAATTTTTATTGGACGCATATTTGCAATTAAATATAACATAGGTATATAACAATAATATCTGGATAAATTCATCTTCAAGCTTCAACAATAAACTTTTTTTTGGTTAATAAATCTCTGGGTCTGCTTTCATTCTTTTAAACTTTGCTTCTGTTTTCTGTATCATTCTCAATTTTCACTTTTATTTTTCCTTGTGCGCGTTTCGCCTACTATATTTTTTTGAACAATATAAACATATAATTCACTCGCGTGTGCCTTTTCATCGCATTTCCTTTTTCGTTCCCTTAATTTTTTTCACTTTCTTGTTTACTTTCTTTTTCTACTTTTATGTGTTGGGTATTTTTTTAACTATAATTTTATATATATTTTTTGAAGTTTGTTTAAACTATGTAGATGGTTAAAAAGTTAACAAGATGGTAAAAAATTTAGAAATATAAAAAATTACCGACCTAGAAATCTACCTTACCGACTGATGGTAAAGAAATCTATTTTGAAAATGCTAGTATAAAAATTACCGACCTAGAAATCTATCTTACCGACTGATGGTAAAGAAATCTTTTTTGAAAATGCTAGTACAAAAATTAATGACCTAGAAATCTACCTTACCGACTGATGGTAAAGAAATCTATTTTGAAAATGCTAGTATAAAAATTACCGACCTAGAAATCTATCTTACCGACTGATGGTAAAGAAATCTTTTTTGAAAATGCTAGTACAAAAATTAATGACCTAGAAATCTACCGTACCGACTGATGGTAAAGAAATCTTTTTTGGAAAATGCTAATATAAAAATTGCCGACAAAGAAATCTACCTTACCGACTGATGGTAAAGAAATCTTTTTTTGGAAAATGCTAATATAAAAATTGCCGACAAAGAAATCTACCTTACCAACCGATGGTAAAGCAGGTTTTTTTTGGGAAAATGATAATATAAAAAATTGCCGACAAAGAAATCTACCTTACCGACCGATGGTATAGCAGGTTTTTTTGAAAATGATAATATAAAAAATTGCCGACCTAGAAATCTACCTTACCGGCTGAGGGTAAAGAAATCTTTTTTGGAAAATGCTAATATAAAAATTGCCGACAAAGAAATCTATCTTACCGACCGATGGTAAAGCAGGTTTTTTTTGGAAAATGATAATATAAAAAATTGCCGACAAGGAAATCTACCTTACCGACTGATGGTAAAGAAAACGTAATTTTTTTTGCAATTTTTTGTACTGTATAAAACTTTTTTATTTATTAATTTTTTTTCCCCCTCTATCTGTTGGTAATGTGTTTAGTTATTTTTTGTTTTACTATATAAAACTTTTTTTTCGCGAGAAAATAGAAAGTTTTTTGTATTTTCGAAGGTAAAAAAGCATAGAGGAAAGTTACTTTTTGTATTCACGAGATTCTAAAGTAGACCATTGAAGTGGATCTTTCTTACTTTTTTTTTTACTTCTTTTATTAAAAAATGCTACGCTATTAGTGAAGTGTTGGGCTACCAAACGTTTAAGAATGTAACGATGGCATTTGCAAGGATCGAGTTTCCCGCAGCTTCATGCCGAGATTTTTAATGTCAAGAGGGTCTATTTTGCATGCCACGAAACGACCAATTTGTACCAAAGGTCGGCTACTTTTCTGAATATTTATTAGACGTCGCGGGTATTTTAAAAAAATATAATGTTTAACCGTTATAAGTGTGCCATTCTATTTTCCCTATGGAAAAATATTTTTCACATCAATTTATAAAGTACAAAATAAATTATTCAATAATAATTCATTAAATTCGGTTTAAATTATAATTTTCAATTATAATGATTAATTAAATTCTAAATTACATTTTAAATAACTAAAAGTAGAAAATAAAGAAAAATTGTAAATAAAAAAAAATGAAATAAAAATAGTAAATAAAAAATAATAAAATAAATTTCCAATTATAATAATTAATTAAATTTAAAATTTAATTGTAAACAAATTTTTTTTCATACAAAAAAAACAAATTTTGTTCTCTATTTGTTTTTGAGAGATTTTATTTCGGTCAATGCATGTCTCATTAAATTCTACATACTACAGATTCGAACACATTTGAATTGTATGAAATTTATATATGGAAACGAATTTATAAAAAAAAATCGAAAAAAATAAATCGTAAAACAAAGTTTAGTCACTAAAAAAAATACAAATTTCAATTATTTTAGAAAGCAGAATGATTGATTTTAGAATAATTTCTATAATAATAATTTACATAATGAAAAAAATGAAGACTCGCGAAGATGAAAAATCTTTTTTGTGTAATTTGCATTCAGGGGAGAATTTTTTTTTGTTAAATAAAAAATAAAAATAAAATACTGAATTTTCAAACATATAACAATGTTGAAAAGAAGAAAAAAAGAAGCTATATACAAGTATATAGAATATAATACGAATGGGAAGATAATGGAATTTCTGCACAGTCAACATGAAAAATAAAAAAGATGAGAAAAATCTTGATTCAAGAGACACGGCAATTTCATGATAAGAAGCTTTGAATGCAGAATATTGATTAAACATGTTCAATAATGAATATTTCTTATTATTAAAACAAAAAAAAAAAAAAAATTTTCTCAACTTGCAAACGTACTTTTTTAGACCTTCTTTGAATTATAAAAAAAATTCTAAAACATTTCTTTTACATCAAGTATAAGAAATTTTTTCACTAAAGAACTCTATAAAATGAATTCTCCAGGAAATAAAGCTTAAAAATTATTTACTAGCAACAAGTATTGATTGAAATTTATGAATAAGGTTTATTAAAAAATTTTATGTAAACTTCATTAAAATGGATGCAAAAAAAAAGCAAGGGACAATATTTCATATATTTTATAAAGACAAAAGAGAGAACAAAAGAGATAAAGCAAAACTATAAAATGCAAAAAAAAAAAGAAAAAAGAGCGATTTAAACCGGTAAATTAGTTTTTTTCCCACTAGCCATTAAGAAAAAAAAAGGAAGAAAAAATACTAACTATTCTGGTCGTTCATGCTTAAATTGTTATATATATATTGTTCGGTAAATGTCTAGTTTCGTTCTCTCTACCATTCAGAGTTGTCGTGAGAAAATGCAGATGTACACGCGGGTAATCGAACCTGAAGAATTTCCATGAATAAAAAGAGATTCAGTTATAGTGGTTTCGATTGGTACATACAGCCTCAATTCAAACCACAAAAGAAGAAGTTTTCAAAAAATATAAAGATTTTGTTCTCAAAAAAAAAAAAAAAAAAAACTGTCTTTATAAAAAAAATCTAGAAAAAAAAACTCTTAAAACAATTAAAGAAAACAATTGAAAAAAATGACAAAAGAAATCACAAGGAATTTTCAGAACGAAATCGGATATTTTTACCCAGTATATATATATAGAATTATAAATGTTTAATTTACTTTAAAAAAAATGTATAGCCCCCGAATTATCTACTATAAACGTGAAAATAGAATTTTCGAATTGTTGTTATATCACTGCAAAAACCGATGGGATTCAAATAGCAATTGAAAGACAAAGCGCTTTAATTCGCATTATTTGAGCGAATTTTATTGGTTCATGTTAACAAAAGCCTCTCGAACAAATCGTTATATATTTTTTTATTTTGTTTGTTCGTTTTGTTTCAAATATTGTATAAAGCTAAACAAAAGAGGATCATTCCAAAGCAAGTGGACACTTCGATCATCTTTCCTTAATTAACAATCAGTTAAAAACACTTCAACTTTGAATTTCACTGAATTACCAAAAAGTCTCCATTGTTCACAAATATCGAAGCCAATTTAAAATTTTATTTTAAAACAGAAAAAAAATACTTTCTATACTTAAATTATCAAAAAATTAAAATTAAAGAGGATTTAAAAAAAACAACAAAGCAATTCAGAAACAAACTAAAATGTTTTGTTATTTAATTTGAAAACAATAATGAAAGACAAATTTATTTATTTTTTTTTTAAATATATACAACTGACAATGTAGATTTTAAAGTTTATTATATAGTATACAATATTTGAAACAAAATAATAGGAATAACTTAAACATAAACTTTCGTAAATAAACTTTTCATAAAGTTCGAAGATATAATTCAAAATTTTATTAAATCTCTAAAGTTTGATGCTGGCAAGCAACAGAGAATTCAGAAAATAACTTTAATGGTCTTAAGGGAACACTCATGAGTTTACAATTTTCCTACGTTTTATCTCGACTTAAGTTTTCAACAAAACTTTTCACGCTTTTCATAACATTATATATATATATACATATACGACGTTATCTCTACAGAAATGAAAGAGTTGTCTTTAGAACTCAATTTTTGAATTCAATTCCTCTAACAATGAGTTTCACAACCGGAAACGCTAAACTTTTTAATTCTTAATTTGAAAAGTCCTTTCATTTTCCATTAGTACTTGATACTTTATTGTTATAATAATACTTTACTGTGTATCAAAATAGAAAAATAAAAATAAATTTTTCAAGTCTTTTAGTATAATTAAAATTACAAAAACAAAAATTATTAAACTGAGTCGAAAATAAAAGAAAATTATTTAAATAGTAAAAAAATATTTCATACTATTTTTATACTATTTATAAAATAAAATAATTTATATTATATTTTTTATATATTTTTATAAAAATATAAACTATTTTTTTTGTTAAAAAATGAGTACATATATATAATTTCGCGTAAATTATAAAATACCTATATTTTACATTCAGTTCTAAAATTTCATAATTTCCAATGAAAAGCTCAAAAGTGTTTAAATTATTCACGTGTCTTTTAACAACTGTCACAATGTCTCATATCAAAACGAAAATTTCCCTTATCTACAGAATGTTAATTATTTAATTAATGGAATTTTTAAATTAAATTTTCTCTAAATATTAAAAAAGAATATATTGGGTCTCTATTTAATTAATTGAAAATTAATTTAGTTCTAAATTAGTATGAGAATTTTTTTCAATATAATTATTTTTAAGAAATAATTTTATTGAAAAATTCTTTCCTACTAGGAAAAAACATATATAAGTGTGTCACTTACTTATAAAAATAGAAAGAAAATAGTAAAAAGAAAATAAAAAAATAATAAATAAGAAAATAAAAAAAGAAATAAAAATAATAATAAAAAAGAAAAACAATATTTCTTATAAAAAAATATTTTTATCATACCAAAAAAATTTTGAAGAATACAATTGTTCTACAGTGGAAAAAC